CCCTCTTTCCTTTGCAAAAATGAATTTTGAACTGCTTAACTTGTCAGATGGACGATACAGTTTTAAAACACAAAATAAATGCAAAACTACACCAGAAACTGTGTATAAACTATGTAAACAAAATTAAATTCAGGAACACAAGTTTATTACAAAAATAAATTAAGTACAATTGTGCATCCCAAGAATCCAGAGTCCTGCTAACAGCAGCAATGGGATATACTGATACAGTAGCAGATGACTACACCCAATTTTATTGTTTCTAGCGTTCATCTCAAAATACATTTCCTTTGATTTACGCAACTGTGTGGAGAAAGTTCTCCTTCTCCCTGATACCTTCCTTCTTTTTGGTATGTAAATTCTCTGTAGAAACGACAGTAATGCACAGCAGCACTCTGCAGAAGCTGAAATCCAGTTGTTTTTTTGATACCTTCTTAAGATACTACCATTATGGTCTATCTTATGATAGCAAATCACTTGTTTCACATTTCTACCAGCCTTGGCTTTATGTTCCTGTGAAAACCTATTTAAAAAGCACTCTAGAAGTTTAACAAAACTGGCCTCTAAGATATTCAGCAAAGTGTCCAAAGTGTGTACCACGTACTTAAATGTCTTATCAGCATACCAATTTTCAGATCAAGTGCTGATCATCTTCAAATGCCCCATAGAAGACAGCATTAAAGAGAAAGCAGACTGTAACTTAGGGATAGCCCTTGCTGCTCTCTGTTCAGAAGTAAAATCATTGGTGCAACAGTATGAGTAAAATCATCAGTAGAACAGTATGATACTTGCTTTCCTCTAAGATGAAATGATGTACCTGTCTAAGTTGTAAGAAACATCAGAAATGAAACTTACAAAAAAAGATTATGGTTACTGTATTTTGTAACAAGCTAAATCTTGTTCTTTCAATGAAAAACAAAGCCTTTTTTCCCTTTAATACTACATTATTAAAACCGTAAGCAGCTGCCACTTACCACTTAGTGTTTTTGACCGTATAGGAGGCAATCCCTTTTTCTGACGTTCTTTTTCCCTTTCCCTAGCCCTTCGTTCACTGGAATATGACCGAGATGACTTTCTCTTCCTTTCTCTTGATCTTGAACGTGAACGTTTTCTGTGTTTACGCTTACGAGAACCAGACCGTGATCTAGACCTTCGTTTTCTTGGTGACCTACAAAATACTTAATTTCAGTATGCTGTGTTAAAAAAACCAAAAATTCTAATTTAGAAACTTTAAGCATGATACAGACATTTCTGTTATATTCACTCAAACTGCTTCAGGAAATAAACTTAATGCCATTAGCGTGAGAGTGTGAGGAAGAGAACATAGAACTTGAGCTTAAAACAAAACAAAACACATTCAGGGAGTTCCATAACAGTGTCTATTTTTCTGGCATAGAAAACCTGACCAGCTGCTAGTGTTAGTTATTTCTGTTACCTGAACAGGTCTTAAAAAATTTAAAGTAGACCATAGATATGCAAAATGAACTGTCATACAGAAAGTCTGCATCTAACACAAATATTAAATGAACACTTTTTTTTCATTGCCAAAAACTGCTCATGACAATTTTGGAAAATACTGAATTGAGAATGATAATCGCAAACTGCAACTTTGTTTCAGAAAACCTTAATTTACTTAATACAAGTTAATTATGAAACCTTGAACGAGATCTTGAACGAGTTCTTGATCTTGAACGAACAGCTGATTTCTTTTCTTCTTGTTCAAAAATCTCTTCTTCAGCAACATCCTGCCCTTCATCTATATCCATGTCCTGAGGTCAGACATAACAGATGTTCAATCACATTTAATAAACATACTCACAATATGTACGACTATATGAAAGCATACATCTATATTACCCATTTTGAAATCATGTTAGTATGTGTTTTCCTTTGAACTTCTGTAATCAAATTGAAAATAGTTTTACCTGTTGTTGAATATCCATTGAATCATCCACATTTGTTTCCACTTCTAAAAACTGCTGCTGACTACTCCCTTGTGATGGTGAGGCAGAGTGCTCTGAACCAAAATTTCCTTCTTGATTCTCCTCAGGGCTTGCCTAAATAACAAATAATAATATATCATAAAAAGCCTCATAATTCAAAACGCTTACTGTGTCAAAATGTAACACTACATGAAACAATTGTTCAAATATCTCTGAAAAACTATTTATCAAGTTTCTCTTACTTTCCCACTTCCCATTAATGTGAAAGCTGAACTAGATTCCATTCCCCTTTTTGTATCATCCTTAAATACAAAACTTTGAAATAATTAATATTCCTGACTATAAAAAAATTACTACTTATTTGCTGAATCAAAAAACCAAAGTACACTATTTGTTGCTTAACTTGGCTGGCTTGAAAACAAAAACTCACAGGACAAACAATAGTGATGGCAGCCATATGTACAGTGACACTGAAAGATAGCCATTGGTCACCTATGAACATGCATTAATAAATTATATTTTGTTATTAATATAATGAAAATATTTGCAATACCAATTGAACTAGTTAAAAAATTTACATTTAACTCCAAACTTTCTCACAGTGTGTGATTTAAGACAAGTAATTACTACAAGATAAAGGAGGGCGTTGTGTCATTTATGTCAGCATGTCAATTCGGAGACCTAACAAAAGAAGCAATTCTGAAAAAACACAAAAATTAAAAAATGTAAAATACTAAATGCATTGTTGATTTTCTAGAGGAAAAACTATGATGGCCTGTACATTGGATTGAAAGTACAGATTTGGAATAAATATCTGTAGGATATGAAAGAAATTCAAGAAATACAGGAAATGCAATGAAAATACTCAGAAATGCTGTCAGGATAACTTTGAAAAGTAATTTTAAACCTATAATCCAGCATTGCAGGTAAACATTTCAGTGTTTCTCATTACATTTTCACTTTAATTAAATTAATGCTAAATATTCTATCTGACAGGAAAATGATAGAAAGTTAGCAGAATGACATGTAGTACCAAGGGTTTTTTTGTTTTATCTTTATATTTTTAAACAGCTTATAATGACAGTTTGCAGAAAAACAAAAAAATTCTACTATAATTCAGTTAATGCATTTTCCTTCTAACATTATCTGTTTTGTCTCATTTTCCTTTTATTTAATTATTCTTCAGCAATCTGTTTCTTGATATCAATTCCTACATTTCTTGTTGCTCCTTCTGTCTCTGTCTTCTATCCTCTCCTCCTCTCCCTCTGCTCCTAATTAGATGCTTAATAATTTTGTTTTGTGCTTTATCTTTCCTCATCTTTCCCTTAATCTTTCTCACTGATGCTTAAACATGGAATTTAAGAAAATTTTCCTCATAACATGCTGCAGTCATTACAGAGTAGTTCCAGCAGAAGTTTGTATCTTTCAGCTACTATCAAGGTGAAAATAAAACTTCCTCTCCATACTGACTAGACAAGAAACTGAACGGACCTGAAGGGAAACAACTTCTGGAAGAGCACTTGGAATAGAAGATCAAATAATAAGGGGTGAGTCATATGAACATTCTACCCATAAATGTACTGTAACTTAATTTCATAAATAAAATTAATTTAAACTCTAATTCTGCTTATTTTACAATAAGGTAGGCATTCAGCATTTTTATTTTCAAATTAGATAGTTACTTTTAGATACATCACATCAAAAGCTCCTAAAACAGATGCACTCTTTAAAGTTATATTCCTTTACAACATTTTTTAGTGTTTAAAGCCAGAAATTGCTAGAAACCCACCAACATCAAAAACTGTTTAGTCTGTAGCTTTGTCATACAAATTTTCTCAGTTACTACACTTAAATGAGAAATGAAAATAAAACATAATAAAAGAAGTAGAATAAGAAAATAATATCTAGTAAAAATTAAATCACTATTTTTCTAAAAAATTAAAAACTCAAAGTCACAAATTCAAAACTTAAATGACATTCTTGATTGAAAGCTGAGTGACTGCACCTTTGCACAGAAATGGTCAGCAGATGTTTGTTAAGTTTGTGGTCCCTTAGATTTTCTTTCAATCTAAGATTTCTATTTTACTGTGAAACTAGATCCAAATACTTCACAGAAAGTCCACTTTATATCTGGTCAGTATCAAGACAGAATAAACTTTTGGGTTTTTTTCTAATGGGATCGGGAATTGGGATCAGGAGGGGAAAAGAGCAGCTAAATACCGAGGACTATCCTCAGGAGAAATAAGCCAATTTACTTCAATGTAGAGTAGAGAGGACCCAATTCACATAGCTAAGAAGGAATCTTGGGTTTTCTCAAGCATCAGTTCTTAATTAATCATTTATCAGGAAATACGTGACCCTATTCTTTAGCTCAGATTCTTCGACAGAATGAGACATACTTTAGCCAAGACTTAGAGCTTGGTAGGGGAAGTTAAAGTTACCTACAATCTCTATTCTGTCTTCTTGATGGTTCTGCAGCAGCAGCTTGCATGCTGCTCTCCTTTCACAGACAGGAGCATAATCACCTCAGTGCTCACCTTCTTCTTTCTGACAGCAGGGAAAAAGCTTTTTTTCCCCCCATATAAAGAGCTGAACAACCAAAGCAGAGTCAGTCTGTAACTCAGCTAAAGGGTACTCTTTCCTAAGAGAAGCAAAAGGTACACCCCACACATTTGGTTGTATTTTTTTTCTGTTTTAAGCACTTTCTTCCACTTACTCTGCAAGCTTCTGTTAGATGATCAGCTAGTGACAAAGACCTTCATTATAAAAGAAGTGTCAGTAACAAGACAATTTTTTTGTTCTGGAGTATGAATTTTTTATCAGTGAAGAACATAATTATTATGACAGCCACAAGATGGGGTTCTTACCTTTTGAGGCTGCTGTTGCTCCAGAAGCTGTTGTCTGAGATGTTCTAAATTTTGTTGCTGTAGCTGTTCAGCTAGTTGGTGAAAAAGTGAGTTGTTCACAGATTCTGGTACTAAAGGCCTAAAACGAAATAATTTAAATAAAAAAAACACAACAGTTTTTTTCTTGGTTTAAACTGCTGGTAAACAGGTCTTCACAATTGAGTTTCAAGTTTAACTAAAAACGTAAAAATAATGAAGACAATGTAGCTAGTTCCACCTTCTGTTATCATCATTATCACATTAACACTATGAATATAACTAACAAAGCAAAGAACGTGCTAACCTTAAGATGAAGTCAACGAAACTTCTGGCACGCAGACTTGTATTAAATATTTTAAAATTGTGTATGTTTCATTAATTTAGTAAACTATCTTTTCTCTTCCTACTGCTTTAGCATACTTATGCTCTTAAAGAAACAACATTTTCTTTACTATCTAATCCTAATGTTCAACTAGTGTCAGGCAAATTTTAACATTTTTCCATAAGAAACATAGCTTGATCTTACAGTTGGGAAGTGGGAGTTTCCTTTTTAGGCTCTTCATTTTGTTCAGATTCTTCCCCAAAGTCAAACCTGTCCATCAGCTTCTAGGAGAAAGCAAAATAAGCATTACTGAGTACTCCTTATATGTTCCTTTATGTATATTTAGTTTTCAAAAGAAAAATGCTCTTATTTCTCAACTTAAAAAAACCAAAAGGTTTGGCAAATAACCTGAATAGAAAATTAAACATCATACTGCTATTGCTACCAAACTCTAGAATGTATCAAATACCAAATTTTGTCCACGGCTTTCTTTTCCTTGGCTGCTGTTACAAGTACAGCCACATGTTCTTTCCATAGTAAATAACAGCTAGTTTGAAGGAAGGATTAAATAAAGATTAATTTTATGTAATGGTACCTTTAATTAGAAGAAATTACTATGAAGAGGCCAACTATTCAATCCTTTGGCAATCAGCAAACTGCTCTGCTCATATCAAGAGAAGACCTACAGCTTGATTACTTCGCAAAGAATTACTGTATTTTCACACACACGTGTCATTTAGACAACCTGAATTCCTTCAAATATACTGCTCCTTGAAAACAACTTCTCAAATAGTCTGAAAAAAATCAAAGCAAGCAGTTATCATGTAAGAGGAATAAGCCTCCAGAGGGATAAAAAGAAAGGTATCTGACAGGGAGAAAGAAAAACTTGGATAAACTTCCTGTTTTATCTGTAAAGATGTCTATGCTGTAATTCTGCTGAACAAAAAAAGTCTGTTTTGTTTATTGATTTTTAAACAGCCCAGAAGCATTTCAACAGCATTTGACTCTCTTGAAGACAAAACTAAAGAACAAGCATGAGGAAATACAACAAACGTTATTTGAGATTGTCTTTTGTCAGTAACTATGCATTGATAGAGCAGTGTTATCAAACCGATATCCATGCATCTTTACACATTGGAAGTTTTCTGAAAAGCAGAGTTAACGCTGTACTACAAACCGATGTAACTTGCTCTCAAACCCTGGTCTCAGAAGAAAAAAAACAAAAGGATGAGAACACGGGGCAGACATTTTGAAATACCAAGGCAAAAACGTCTCCAGTAACTAGCCATGATGATTCAGTAGCCCATTTTCTTTCTCAGGATGCTCTGTTTACTGTCAATTACTGGAGTCAAGTGAGAAGAACAAAGCACAAGCTAAGAGACTGATCAATGAAGAATTATTAGAACTATTTTCCCAATGAAATAATCTAATATGTATGAAAGCAGGACTAAATATATCTCTGAGGAAACACAGCAGAGACATAGACCATCAAGCTTAAGTGAGGTGGGATGCTAAAATCCAGAATAACTTTCACCATATATATCTAATCCATTTAAAGCAAGGTAATAAGAATATTTTCATATTGTTAGAGTATTTTCAAGTAAAGCATTTGCAAAATGCTGCTGCTCTGAAAACAATATGCATTTAGAAAAACAACGAGTCTCATCTTTAAAATATTATGAATCATCATGTATCTTCCATCATGACAAAGTAGAAAGGAAGATAACAGAATATGTACTATTTAATCATCTGAGAAAAGGAACAAATGGAAAGTAGTCAGCAATTTATGACATGCAAAATGCCAAGATAGGCAAATGTGCAGCATGATTTTTGTTTACATTTGTTTTAAATAACATAGTAGATATTAAAGGAAAAAATCTGAACCGAAATATCTTGATTTTTAAATAAATTGTAACAGAATACTCTCTACAATAAAACAATAGAAATTAAAACAAATTAAATATTAGGATACCTAGGTTAACCCACCACACACATGGATATAAAAGTATAGAACTTTCCATGAATGCTACACCTGTTACTTTAATTACCTGGAGAAGAGAGTATGTTCACAAAAAGCAATGGGAATGATTAAAGACATGAAAAAAGCTTTTTATTCCAAAGGAAACAAAATTCTTCTTAAGGATCAGGACATTCTCTTTAGAAATTAAAATAAAAGGAATAGGACATAAACGTATAGGAAATGTTGGGTCAAAAATCTTTCTTTACCATAACACAAGGATACAGTCATGTAGCAAGATTACAAAACACATACATTTGATGTTGACAAAAGAAAGGAATTTCTAACGTAATGCGTATTAATTTGCAGAACTTATTACCACAAGATACTATGGAGGCTGAAGAGCTTGGAAACAAAGGATTGGAAGAACTGCTGGATTTATTAAAAATAGGCATTTTTAAAAAAGATGGATACTTATGTATTCATCAGAAATATTTTCCTGCACTATTTATATTTGTAATCCAATTCACCATCATATTATACTATGGAATGAGAACTAAGCTTCAGAGTTTTCTTTGGTTCATGATGCTTACTGCTTATGTATCATAAAAGCTGTCTTTTTTTTATGTCTGCCAACTCAGAACATTTGCTTTTTGGACACTGCCTTCAACCATGAAAGTATTTCTATATCAACATCATAGTCCCATCCTCCATTCTCTAAACTGCATTACAAGTCTGTTCAGTATCTTCTACAGAAACTATTCAGTATTTCTAATTATTGCTTTTGGGAATTGCTAGATTCTCTAATTTTGCTGCTGCAGCTTTTTTAAGATGTTCAGGACTGGTCACTGTACCTCAGGTAAGAATACTTCATCAATTTCCACTAGATGACAGTATCTCTTCTGCCCCATTCTTCATAAGTCTGAGGATCACAGGACAGTCCAGGTTGAAAGGGACCTCAATACGTCTCAGTCCAATTTTCTGCTCACAGCAAGCTCAGCTGTGAGGTCAGGTCAGGTTACTCAGGGCTTTATCTAGCTGAGTCTTGGAAATGTCAGTTTGCACCAACTGAAACTACACAATCTTTCCAAGCAACCTTCCAGTGCTTGACTGTCCTCATAGGAAAAAACGTTTTCCTTATACCCACTCTGAACCCTTTTGTTTCAATTTCTGTCTGTTGTCTATAATCCTGCCGCTATGCCATGCTTGAAGAGCCTGGCTTCATCTTCTTACTGACCTTCCCATAGGTGCTGGGCAGGGCCGGGGGGAGTTGCTGTTAGGCCTCCCCCAAAGCTGCCTCTGCCCAAGGCTGAACCAGCTCCAGTGCTCTAGACCTCACCATTTTGGTGGTCCTCCACTAAACTCACTCCAGGTTGTCAATGCCCTTCCTGTATGGGGGTGGGGGCAGCAAAGCTGGATGTGATACTCTAGATGCAGTCTAGAGTAGATGGGATGTCTAGATGGAACGATCACTTCCATCAATCAACTGGCTATACTCCTGTTCACACAGCCCAGGATATTGTTGGGCCTCTTTGCTGCCAGGGCATTCTACTGGCTCATGCTCTGTTGTTATACTTGTTAACAACTTGTTTTCTTATAAAGACTAGAACCCCAGAGATTAAGCAACTGTATGTCTGGTACTCAAAGTAAGGCTGTTAACAGTCTAGTGTTGCTGTTCATTGTACTGTTCTGACACCCTGGTTTTTGATACTTGTATCTCTAACAGTATCGTCACCTGCAGTTCAGGCATTTTGTGTTAAATATAAAACTACTGCAAGCTCTCTAAAATGCATACAAAAACTGTAGAACTTCAGAGCATCCTGGAAGATCACTAACAAAGATCTAGATTTGTTGTCAGGAAGCAAAGCATTCCCAAAACTTTTCCCCTTAAAAAATTTGGTTTATAGTTTTTATTTTATTTGGGCATGCTATTTGGACTTTGCTACTAGTTCCTTTGAAGCAGCTCCAGTCTGGCCTTGTTGACTGAGTGCTCATTAGCAGTTACAGCATACCTTTTGCTTTAGCTTAATCCAAATGAATCTACTTTATGCATTCAAGATTGCTCTGCAATGTGAAACAATGTGCGGTACATGTAAACAATCATAAGTTTCACCTCAAAAGCAAGCTCCTGATTCAAACTAGAACACTGATGTAGATGCTTCCCAACAAAGAGGAAGTCAGGCAAAAACGCCAGGAGGCCTGCATGGATTAACAAGGAGCTCCTGGACAAACTCAAACACAAAAAGGAAGCCTACATGGGGTGGAAGCAAGGACAGGTAGCCTGGCAGGAGTACAGAGAAATTGTCCGAGCAGCCAGGGATCAGGTTAGGAAAGCTAAAGCCCTGACAGAATTAATCTGGCCAGGGACATCAAGGGCTTCTATAGGTACGTCGGTGATAAAAGGAAGACTAGGGAAAATGTGGGCCCTCTCCAGAAGAAACGAAAGACCTGGTTACCTGGGATATGGAAAAAGCTGAGGTACTCAACAAGTTTTTTTGCTTCAGTCTTCACCAGCAAGTGCTCAAGCCTCACCGCCCAAGCCGCAGAAGGCAAAGGCAGGGACTGGGAGAATGAAGAATGGCCCACTGTAGGAGAAGATCAGGTTTGAGACCATCTAAAGAACCTGAAGGTGCACAAGTCCAGGGGACCTGATGAGATGCATCTGTGGGTCCTGAGGGAACTGGCGGATGAAGTTGCTAAACCACTATCCATCATATTTGAGAAGTCGTGGCAATCTGGTGAAGTTCCCACTGACTGGAAAAGAAGAAATATAACCCCCATTTTTAAAAAGGGAAAAAAGTAAGACCCAGGGAACTACAGGCTAGTCAGTCTCACCTCTGTGTCTGGCAAGATCATGGAGTAGATCCTCCTCGAAATTATGCTAAGACACATGGAAAATAAGGAGGTGATTAGTGACAGCCAACATGGCTTCAATAAGGTCAAATCGTGCCTGACAATTTGGTGGCCTTCTACAACGGGGTTACAGCACTGGTGGATAAGGCAAGAGCAACTGACGTCATCTACCTGGACTTGTGCAAAGCATTTGACACTGTCCCGCACAACATCCTTGTCTCTAAATTGGAGAGACATGGATTTGACAGATGGACCACTTGGTGGATAAGGAGCTGTCTGGATGGTCACACTCAAAGCGTTGAGGTCAATGGCTTGATGTCCAAGTGGAGACCAGTGACGAGTGGTGTTCCTTAGGGGTTGGTATTGGGACCGGCACTGTTTAACATCTTTGTCAGCGACATGGACAGTGGGATTGAGTGCACCCTCAGCAAGTTTGCTGATAACACCAAGCTGTGCGGTGCAGTTGACATGCTG